CCGTATCCGCAGTCTAACAACCCTTCACCCTGCTTTGAGTTGATGTGAGGAGGACTCTCTCTGCTCTTCCGTGATCCACGAAACTTATCGAGGAGGACACAGGGTGAAATGGCTGAAATTTCCTCTCAATTAGCCCGCGTAAAGTAGAAAGGAACCAAGCCACATTTGTCGTCCCAAAATTTAATTGGGCAATTTAATTTCTTACATGAAAATGGTTGTGCGGGGTTTTGTGCTAGTTTCAGTACATTTTCTGCATAGTACAAAGCAAATTCCGAAATGTTTTTAAATGAATCCGCACAAACGTTCTCTCGTAAAAATTGAAGTGTCCTGTTAAATTAGGCAATAGCTGGTGTGGCTTGGTTCCTATCTGTGAAACGCGGTCTATTTAAGATTTAGCTCTATAGGGATCCCATTACCATCCGTCAAATGTTCAACGGTGGTATCAGAAACTACATATATGATTTTATCAACAATACTATGAGCTTAAAATGTACGAAGCTTAAATGCTAGAGTAAACAGCCTTTTTACTGAAAAAATTATGTCCATCCGATTTTTTAGGCGTTCCCTTTTTAATCTTTAAAAACTCCGGAAAATGGAAACTTGAATAATGTATCCAGTTCGAAGTTTTATAGACTTTAAGATCTATACATTCATGCAGGGACGCCAGACGAATGGACGTAAATTTATTCAAATACGTTCTTTTTTGTTTTACTTCAGGCACCTTAAAATGCCTAGAAATGATAAAATTCCAATTTTTAAAAAAAATTGTAGGATGAAAATATTGCCTCTGTTCGCAAGGGGAGCGAGGAAGTAAAAAATGATTTTTTGAACATAGTCAATTTTGTAGCCGCCAAATCTCCTTAATTTTCCGAGTAAACGAAAGTTGATACGCGATTGCAGCACGGACTTTTTTGGTTGTCCTTTACGATGGAGTAAGTGATAAGTGAGTGTAAGACCGCCCTCTCCCTCTGTTCAACGCTTCAATTTGCGGCGTCACCCCTCAACCCTCCAGCTCGTGACTGCGAGTCAATCGTGTGAAACTCACTGAAAGCAGATCAGGAAATGAAATCAATCCCACTTTGGCCCCTCCACTGTTTGGCCTCTTGGGCTCTCTTAATTCACTCCGCACATTTTTCCAACGTATTAGGCTTCTGAAAACATATTGACCGCGTCGTATTTAACCAATTAGGGTCGTATTTTTCGAATCAACTGTTTTCTCTTGTTTTTGCGCCGACACAATGTTTCGAACTTTTCGATATTTGAGGGCCCGAGGGGTTTGAAAGACAGGTGCAGACAGGTGACAGAATTATTTTTTTGAATAAATGATTTACTAATAATTTTAACCAAAACCAGGCAATCTGAAAATGTATTCTGTAAGAAATTCACCTTTGAATCTAATTTTAAGCATCATAAAGTGAGTTTGAGCTTTTTTCGTGCCCTTAGCACTTTGTAATTTTGAAATTTAAACACGTGTTTCTTAAAATGGTAAGAACTGCCCTTATGCGGTTGTTTGTCTTCTCCTACTTCCTTTTGTGTTTCACATTTTGAGTATGATGGACGTAGGTAAAAAATATCCTTAAAGAAATGACAAAAAGTGAAAAAGGAAGACGAGGAGGGCCATTCATTGATAAATTAAAGTTAAGTGAAATATTGCCGCAAGATGATTCAACGAATATACTCAAAGCATTGAAAATATAAAGCCAAGATTCTTGATGTTAAAATCTTCACCTTAATTCAATGTTAATCTACTATTTGCAGCTTAGACATTATTGGCTCATAAATGTAATATGATCCAGCCAAAAGTGAAGAACAAGGAACATCAAACGTTACCAGGCCAGGCAATTGGCCTTCAAATCGAAGATTCATCGTTCCTCTAAATTAGGTTGAATTTTATAGACAGCAAAATAACCTAGTTATCATCTGCTCAGTCTGTATATCCACAAGACTGTCAGCGCCAAATCAGATGCATATCCCCTCCCACATCTTCTTCGAAAAATGTAACATTTCAAAAATTGGACATCCAGGCAAATTTACCGCTGAACTTGTTAAAATTTCCGCGGTCATCGGAAAATTGAGTGATTCCAAAGATGCAGGGTTGGGGGGGGGGGGGGGGTTAATTTGACCACGTGATTTTGAGAAATCTCTGGAGCGTGAAGGAGAGGGACGGAGTCGGGGAGTGAGAACTATCCCTGCTGGCCACCGTTCACATCCCTCGACCCCATCCGACCCCTCTCGCTCCCATCAACCCCTCACCCCCTCATCCATGACACCGATCATGGCTACCTCCGATTCACCTGTTTGGTTTCGATTTATTATTTTTAATGCCGGGACTGCACCTATCACCTCCGTCAGTTGACTTTACCGCATAGCCTCGCTCGCACCCTGCCCCGCGCCGACTCCATCCGCACCCCCGCGTTACGCAAATGGTGAACTAACCTAAAATTCAGACACTACCATTTTCAGTGACTCTACCACGAAAAACAAATTTAATTTAATTTTTATTAATTCTGTTTTGCTACATAAGTCGAGTATAGCTCGTGTTTCGAAAAATAATTTGAATTTTTAGTTGATTTTTGGGATGTTTTTGTGCGCACTCTTCGGCATATCGTTTGCTATCGATTAAGACTTGTTTTTCACTTCGTCCGTTTTTATAGGACCGCTTTTTATGATTGTTCTTAGTCTGATATATTAGTTAGTGTATTCGAACGTACGGTTTTGAGCAATATTGGAAAAATCGCGACACATTATCCTGTAAGTTGTTTTGCATTGTAATTACTAATAATATTTTTTCCCCACGAAATGATCTTACTTTGATTGGCCTGAAGTCGGGTTTTTTCAATATAAATTTTCTTTGACTAATCTTTCTGGCATAAAGTGACTCAGTATCTCGTCTAAGTTGAAAGTTTTTAGTTTCAAATTTCTTTTTTGGTCTACTGATAACCTCGAAATTAAATTGAAATTTATCGTAAAATAAGTCGAAATTTTCAAGCTTACGATTCCGCTTTATTTGCCTAATCGTAGTAAAATATTTGACACATAGGTCCACATCAAAACTTAAACTGAAAAAACTTACATACTTACTTGCCATATACTCTGCTGAGTTATAGACGATTGGTCTCCTTTTTATTTAATTGTTCGTCAAAAGCCGGGCAAGGAAATCGAAGATTTGCATCAAGAGTTTTCATTCGCCTGAAAATGTAGATTTGAGGGAATTAACGGAGGAACCGTTCCTTTGTGTTACGCAAAAACGTCGTATTAACTTTCGGATGGTGCCAAATCTCTAAAAACAAAATACGCATTTTAAAGAATACTTGTAAATATTTGTCTTTGGAATTTTCAGGAAAGTGTCTCTGGAATTCAATCTAGTATTTTAGAAAATCACAAAGACGAATATTCAAAACCTTTCTGCAAAATAAACATTACATTCGCGGCAAGTTGGCCTCGTCTAAAGGCTCATACGTCGTTGTTCCTTAGCACGGCGGGATTGAGACGCGTCGCTCGGCGATGCTATCGGGCCGAAGGGTCGGTCCCCGAAAGCTGCGGATGAGGTTTCTGAAGTGATAAATTAGACGCGAGCCCCACCCCGTGACCCGAGGAAGGGTTGCTATGCCGTTTGATTGATAAAGCGGTCTCAATGGCCGTGATGCATTAAATTGGCAGAAGCTGTTATTGAGCATTATAAAAATCTTGGTGGTGCTCGTGACGCCTGCAAATCGCCACGCGAAACGACGCATTTCGATCGGGCGCTGCGCACGATTCGGCAACATGGTCCTGAAATAAAAATGAACCCTTTGTCATGCCGGGAGTGAGATGTAAAGGCAGAATGCCGTTCGCGTGTGCTACCTATATAATATACATATACCCTTATAGCCTCGCCACGCGGTGTATTTGAATATCGCTCTATAAGGTGCCGATCGGCTCGTGTGTCCGAAATTAGCGGCTCATGCTCGGGCCGAAATTCTATATGATTGATCGGCTATTATAACGCTTTTATATGTTTATCAATCATTTGAGGCGGAGAAAAGTGTTTATAATTCAGCTTATTAATTATACAGGGACGTGTATGAGATGCGCGGAATCGTGGTATCGGTAAATCCAGTTCAACCCTTAATCTGCTCCAAGAATATGAAAAACCATTGTAAAAATGTGCGCGGTACCGAGAAAATCATGGCATTTACTAAGTTGAAAGTTTACTGGTCTTCGGCAACATCGGGTTGATTAGCTTTCGGTTACATAATGCAAAATGACCTTCTTTAAATCAAAGTTGATCAACCAAATTTTTAGTTCCAGTAACTGAAACGTTAGGTTAAATCAACCACACTGGAAAAAAAACACATTGGATCTAGAGTCCAGACTCTTCTAAACATTGACAAAAAGAAATACTCTTGATTCAATCGGATTTTTGCTTCGATCAAGAACCAAGCCTCTTAATTTGAGCGGATTTCCTTTTGATTTAAGCAAAAATCTGATTAAATCAAGAGTATTTTTTTTGGTCAATGTTTTCAAGAGTCTGGACTCTAGATCCAATATGTTTTTTTTTCCAGTGCAAGATCTTCGGTTGCCTCGAGGCAACTCGAAATTAGAGGTGTTTTGCTCCCCAAATGTACTCAAGTGTTCTTCATCACTGTCCGTCGGTTGTGACTTGCGAAAATTGGGACTAGCTAATTGTGCACAGTTTTTATGGGTACTGAGTTTTTCAAACCGAAACAGTTGGTTAATTCAACCAGAAAATTCCGCACATTCAACCATTAATACAAAAGTAAAAACAAACCTAAAAACATTAACTGGAAGTTTGAGTTTTTTCGGGTTCTACTTTCCATCTTAACACAAAATTTTGGTTAATTTTTCTCACTTGGTATGATGGCTACTTCTTTTTCAATTCTCTTGTAAAACGACCTAGTATGTCGACTCCTCTCAATGCGTAGAATCAGATACATGTTTTTCGTCACAATCATAAATTCTCAATGTTATAATGCCAATTTCCTATCTTCTGTTTTCAGCGTCGCAGCTGTCAAGTGGAACTCTAGATGATAGTCGGGATGAGCAATTAGATGACGAGGAAAGCAATGTTTGCCCTCGCTGTGAAACAACTTTTCCCTCTCTAGAACAGTAAGTATCGAAGCTCTTAGTCCGAGAGCCAGACGACTTTGAGTGACAAACTCGGGATACATGTTTTGACCCCCTAAATCGATAGCCTTGCATGCACTGAAACGGAAAATTTTTGTCTGCCGCCCTCTAGCCTGTGCCATCACCCTCATCTAGGCCCTCAAAGTGGTCCAAAAAACACCATCTGGTGACAAACTCCTGACGCT